TCTATGATCCAGAGGCCAGGCAGGCAGCCGCCTGCACACGTGCATTCTCTCCAGCACAGCCCAGCGCACGTGTGTCTGATCTCTGTGAGGACACTGCTGCCCCACCTGACATAGGTTGTGTGCACTCACTGGAAGCCCGAGTCACTGTTCTGGTGGAAAACTGACGTCAGGTGCGGATTGGCATGGGCTTTTTGCTTGAAGTGATGGAGCGCCACAACCCCTGCACACCAGGCAAGTCACATGGCAGAAATCACATAGCTTCCTGTTGACTTTTTTTGTGCTGGAACTGTTTTGAAATGAAACAGTCTGGAATCCAAGGAATTGTGTTGAAATGCCATAAAGTGGCAGCAACACCAACCTTGCTGCCAGAGCCAGAAAATAATTGCAAATCTAAGTGTCATCTCTTGGCGAGAAGTGCTTATTTGCTGCCAGCTCCAGTTAAGAGAACACGCAAAGGTTCAGGAAACAAATACAGATGTGGTAAAAGCAGCCAGCAAAAAACTTAAGTGGGGCATCTGGAATAAAGTACTTGGGTTTGCAAAACTATGTACTGCAGCTGTGTTGAGAATAGTTTTGAAAGCAGTTTCAGCCTAAATTAAGATAGAAAGCCCCATTTAACTGTGGGAGTAATCTGGAGTTACTGGCTTCCCAGCCATTTGTTCTAATTAAGCCTGAATAGGTTAATTGGTTGAACTCTTCTCACCCGATGACAACTTGTAAAATGAATCTCTGCCATTTGGTGCTCCCGTCACACAAGGTCATACTGAGTATCCTGCAGCTGCCTCAGCTGACAGAGCAGGCACGCAGCAACCGAGGTGAGCACAACCCCTTGTGTTCCTCATTGTGGTTCGGGGCAGCTACGTGGGGCTGAAGGTGTTGGGAAGCTGCGCAGTCAGTGTTGTGTTCTGAGCACTCGGTTTTATCTTGACAAACCTAAGGATTCCCTGCCCCACATTCCTCAGTGTTTGCCTTTGTAGATGCTTTTGCCTGTTGACCTGAATTTTCCCATGCAGCTCGCTTCTAACTCCTACAAGAGATGGAATCACTCCAGAGTCAAAATGTGGTTGCAGGTGGAAGTAAGGCACAGAGCTGAGGTGGTGCAGCCGAGCCACAGGAAGGCAGCCTGGTTATAGGTGAGTGCACTCACAAGTTCAGAGCAGCAAAGCAATCTCATCAATTTCCCTGAGGCTTTACTGGCCTTACTGCTGCTGCACTGTCTGCACCTCCATCACTTGTCTTTTACAAGAAGCTGCCCACTCCCCAGCCACAATCATACCTTACTGTTTACGTTCAAAGGGGATTGTGAGAATTTGGCTATACTTTCACAGCTTTGAATACTTTTTAATGTTGCCCTTCCCCAAAGGCAGCTCATTCCTAAGAGAGCCATGCTTGCAGCACAGCTGTTTGGATTAGGCAAACCAGTGACTGGCTGGGATCACTGTTACCCCCTGCTTCCATGCAGCAGCCTGTTGGTGATGGCCTGTTGGTTACGATGCACAAGCAGTGCACAAAGCCCCGTGCGAAGGCTTGGTTATGGGCAGAGCTGGATCCCCCTCTACAGGCGACATTTCAGCGAGATCATTTTCTCTCCACTGGTGCTCAAGCAGGAGGAGTCTGCACTCCCTCTGATGCAACTAACAGTGCACGCATGTATTTTGTTTCCATTTTAAACTATGCAAGTAGCATGTGCATCACCTTCTGGCGTCCTTTGTCCATATCTGAATGCTGCAGCAGGATGTCTAATCCTAATAGAGCCGTGCTTGCTTTGCTGCTTGCTTTGCTTTTGGCTGGGTGGCACAGCAGATGATGCGCTGCCCTTGGCGGTGATGTGGTTTGGGAGGAATTGGGAAGCCACTGTTGGAGTCCCAAGGCAAGAAGCAGTGTGTGCATGAGGGCTGCTGTGGTGGGGAGGAGACACGTCCCAGAAGCTCGGGCAGCAGCAGGACTCTGAAACACTGGCAACTGGAGATACATGGCCAAGGGGGCCAGTCAGGAGTGCTCCAGAGCCTGGTCTTGCTCATATTGGAAGCCCATCATGTGGTTCAAATCGGTAGGCTCGAAACTTTGATGTGAGTAACCGTGACCACACTTGATTCTTCCAAAATAATTTTTGTCTCTGTGATTAATGGAGGTGCTGACAGACATCTTCACATCTATGATTTTTAAGGGTGAGGACAAGGCTTTCAGATGCAGGAAGAACATCACTAACAGAAGCAGCATCAATTTTTGCTGATCTAGTTGAAGGTATCCCTGCTCATTGCAGGGGGGTTGGACTAGATGAGCTTTGAAGGTCTCTTCCAACCCAAACCATTCTGTGAGTCTATTCCACATTAGGATGTGCATCACGTTTAGATGCAAGGCTTTCAGGACCCTGAGTGTTTGAAGACTTTGCTATCACAAGTCCCAAGTTTAAATTGGAAGACGTGGTGGGAGTTCGTGCCTGCTGCCGCTGGGGGGCTGCCTCACCACAGGGAACCAGGGCAGGCTGCAATGTTCCTTCAGCACAGTGTGTGTTACTTTATCATCAGCCTCTTGCCAGTACTGGAAGAATTAAAACGAGTTTGCTGTCAGAACAGGTTTAGACACAGCTAAGTCATTACAGTTGGTTACCACAGTAACCCTGTGGGGGGGGTTTGATACTTTGACATCACTATCACATTTCCAGCAATAGCATTTCTAAAAACAGTTCTGCACAAACTGTTTTGTCGTTCTGGTGCCATCTAAGTTTAACAACGTGGGCACCACTCTGCTGGCAACAGGGCTGTTCCGTGTAAACCTGCCCGCAGTTTTCCTGCCAGCCCTTAATGACATACCTCCAGAAGCCTGAGCACAGGTGATGCTGGGGGTGGAGGGGATGCAAACTGAAATGCCTGTCTTACGATGGTGGTCACTCAGCACCCTTTGCCGTCCAGCTAAAGGGCCGACAGCAGAGCGCCTCCCACCGGTACAGAATCCCAGTGCATTTGCTGTAGCTTTATTTCCCACCTGAATACACACATCTATCTATCTCCCTCTGACAGCAATCACCTTGTAGGTGCCAGTGTGGCCTGGATGCATGAGTTACAGGCTGCACCCATGGGTGCTGGCACTTCTCCACCAAGAGGAAGAATGCATCAGCTGTCAAGCAGCACTGGGTTTCAGAGTCACTGTTACTTTGTGGAAAAAAGTTTTCTCCTTAGCAAGGACATCCACAGCAGAACCTGTTCAGTTCTATAGAGGGAACCTGCACCTTTTCCTACCACCCCTCCTAGTCAGATCAAGAGCCACAAGGACGACCACGTCCTTGCACAGGGGCAGGGTAGTACAGCTTGTGGCTGTAACACAGGAATTTCTCTGCTGACAAAGGCTCCCTATTGAGAATCACAGCATGGTTTGGGTTAGAAGGGACCTTAAGGATCATCCAGTTCCAACCCCCCTGCCACGGGCAGGAACACGTTCTACTAGACCAGGTAAAAATGCTCAGTGGTGTAATGTTTCCCCACAGCAGCATGCTCCACTCATACTATCAACAAGGTGCTTTGAAGTACAAACGATTTATTGCAATGTTTCATTATTTACAGTACCGTTCGCTTTGTCCCTGGGCGCTACCGCAGTGCAAGCCACATCAAACAGAAAAGCTAAAATGATGGTAACAGCAAAACATGCCTGTGCCTTGTGCTCTTGCTGTCCTGCCTCTTTCCTGATACTGAATGCAGAGGAGTCTGCTGCTCTTCCTGGTCACTTGGAACACGCTGGTAAGGTAAAACTTTGGTCACATAGGATTGTCAGTTGTTGTTCTGTTCAAGGTGATGCAGGAACAGGAATCTGCTGTCTTTCCAGCTGTACTTTACTTAGAATGCAGGGTTTCTGGCGTCATGCAAGACACCCAAAGAAACACAACAGTGTACACAGCACTGTTGAGTTTCTACTTAAATTTTTTATGTAAGTACTGGTTTATTTCCAATTCTTTTTGTCAATGATTCTCTTTGGTTTATGTACGCTTTAAGTCATCTGCCTGTTTTGAGGCTAAGCTTCCTGGCTTAACTCCCTTAAAAGAGCCAGTACCTCTAGAGTTATGACTACTGGATACTGAAACTGGACATCTCACCTCCTGGAGCTGTATTTAAAGGTCTTTACAGAATACTGCAGCTTTTATTATGTGTTTCCAATTGTATAAAATGGTGATTCAGACACCATTGAAGACAAGAGTTTCACACACTGTCAGGACAAATTACACTAGTTACTTCAGGAATGAAGTCTAAACAGAAACTTGCCGGGGGGGGGGGGGGGTTTTTAGTTACTACAAATTTTATTGAAGACTTGAGAATTCCAGTGTTCCCGTGGCTAAACTCAGGTCAAGAATCCTTTCAGCTTTCTAACAGATGTATTAGCTTGAGAAAGTACTTGGAAAGACAGGGTTCAGATGGAGTACCTGCAATTTCCACTGCTGCCAGTGGCCTCTTGGGAGGTGGGCAGTGAACTTTGCCCCAGTTACCTTAGTGTGCAACAGGGATGGCGTTACCTTCTAAAACTTGAGATGCTTTGTATTACAAAGATCTTGTAATTAGGAAATGTTTAAGGCTCTATTTCTGAAAATAGATTCTATCAAATGGCACTCGAGTCCTCCAGAAAACATGTGGCAGGGCTGTTGGTTGGGTAAGGCTCAGCACTACCAACTGCTGCCCTCTCTCCTCACTCATCCCATGCCTGGTTTACAGTTCAACAGAGTCCCTGCAACAGCTGCCTCAAACGATTCTAAAATTAGAGCCTCTCAAAAATGGGATGATTGCAGCTCTTGGCAGGTTTTCTCCTGTGAGTCACACTTGTATTCTATGTTTTCACAGGCTTTTCTGTATCGCTGTTGGTAGACAGCCACCAAAAGCTTTACAGTTGCAGAAGGTAACATTTTCACAACGAAAATGTATTGGTTTCATTTCTTAACCATACAAAACACGGTGTTTAAAAGCTCTGCAGTGCCTCCCTACTCTGATTCCTCTGGAATTTGGAGAAGGCAGCAGAGCTCACATGCAGTCAACAACGTTGCTGGATCCCTGGCCCACGTCCCGGATCTGGCTGCTGAGACAAGAGCACACAGCCACGCCAGCCCCTGCCCTGCAGTGCGACACGGAGCCGACGAGTTCCCACCTGAGAAAGATGGCAGAGGAAACAAGAAAAGTAAGCTCCTGTCCTTTCTTTTCTGTGTTGGAATCACAGAATAGCATGGGTTGGAAGGGACCTTCCAAGGTCATCTGAAATTCTCTTACACAACCTAGCTGTTCACTCTGCACAATAACACACCCCGCTAGTTTCTTCTTATTATTTCACTGGTAAATTTAGTGTGAAATCAGATTGAAACAACCAGAAGGATGTAGATTCTTATTGAATGAAGGGAAGAGGACAAGGGATGGAGAGGAGAAGGAAGAAGGAGGAGGTGCTTAGGTATTTACAAGAAGAACCTAGTGGCATAAATGTAGCTAGTCATGGATATTACTCAATACTACCAGGGAACAACAGCTAGACTCCTGCTGCACACTATTTCTATTAAGTTCTCATACAGGCTGATTTCATTGTCTTAAGCCAAATAAAGTATTTTAAATTACCTATTCACTATGGGATCAAATGCCTCCACTGTATTCAGGTACACGTTGCCATTATGACCTCCAACTGCAAAGATTTTACCCATCAGTGTCGCTATGCCAACACCACCCCTAGGAGTTGTAAGCTCTGCCACATACTCCCATCTGTTACTGCGCGGGTCAAACCGCTCCACCGAGCTCAGCGGAGAGTTGTCGTCAAAGCCACCTGCAAAGAATCATTACATAGTCAGGTTTTAGCCACTTCTAATGCCAGTGATATCCAGGACTGGCATTATCAGGCTGGTTTGGGCATTCTGTGGGCTAGTGTCCAGCTCCAGTTCTTTACATGAATTTTACAAGCTTCTAAGAATTAATCTAACAGCTCTCCCTCCTGTCACCGTATAAGCATCACCCAGAGTGACAGCAGCGTTCTACTCAAGCTGCTAGGAGAAGTGTTTCTATTATTTTTCTGCTCGAATGCATTTAACACATAGTTACAATGAAACAACTTCTAATTTGGAGCAGAAAAATCCTAAGACAAGTAAAACGATGGGCCTGATTTATTTTGGCTTAAGCAAAACACAGTCTTGTGGTGTTTTCAAATTACAGCATAGCTGAATACTTGCGTAGGGAAAAAAATCCTCAAGTAAGACTTTAGTGCTGCATTCCCTTGCTGGGGCAGCTGTCAGGAAAGCATTTTACTCAAAGCTTTTTTAATCACTTAACGATGATACACTAGGCAGAGCACTGTGGTATCACTATGGCATATCTACCTGGCATCTTCCTCTCTCAGGAAAGCAGGTAATGCAAGGTAGAGCAGATCAAGACAGGCCTAGGACAACAGGCTGTGGAATAAGTGTAATCACTGTGTGAAAAAGCTACTGTTTAAGCTCAAAATAGAACTAGAGTGCTTTAAAAGTATGTGAACATAAGAATCCTTTTCCTAAAAGGAAACTCAAGATTAGTGAGTCTCGAGAGGATTTTCTATATGGACATACTGTCCTGAACAGTATAGACCTCGTGAAATGTGGCTGAGGAACTGCTTTTTACTTCCTCACTAACATCCTTTCATATAAGCGTGCCCTGGTTGTGCTTGATTTCTTCTCCTGCCCAAGAATTCAAAGTACAGGTCATGTCTATCTGTTCCACAGTTCCCCTGTCAATAACAGCCTTTTCCAAATGCCACTACTTGGCAGAAACAACACTACACAATGCCACATCTCTACTCACCGACAACGTACAGGCAGCCATGGAGCTCGCTGACACCATTGCCAGCTCTTCGCTGACCCATCTCTTTCACTTCCATCCACTTATCCAAATGGGGATCGTATTTCTCCACACTGGAAAGAGATGCTACACCGTCATTGCCACCCACAGCATAAACATGGTTCTGGAAAACAGTTGTATAAAGAAAGATTATGTGTAAGGTGTATGTATTTACTCAGCTTTTCAAACGCCTTGTTAAAATTATAGGCAGATGTGGTTTTATCCATAGAGTCCCGATTATTTACTTCTATGTAAGAATTCCAACAACAGAATTATCTAGCAATGCTCTCCCACAACTACAGAAGCGAAAAAGTTGTGTAGTACTGGAGATATTTTGCAAGGTATACATGGTGACAGGGGGATTTAGGTGCAGATGCACTCACTACCTTTAAACTTCGTACCCATGACAAACCAGCCTTCTAGTGAGACATGAAATGTTAGAAGGGTCCTGGTTCTTGCTCCCAGTACCTCAAATACTGATGAAACAGGACATGTAGTTCAATTTGATGGAAGTGTTATCCTGAATATCCTCACCTTTGCGCAGTTCCATAGGATTTTGATGACTGGAGGTGCTCAGACCCACCAACTGCACTTTGGTTTTGTGTTCTGCCTTGTAAGAGCAGGTCAGTTCCTCAGCTGACCCCAGCCTGGGAGGAAACAGTCACTTACCACAAGGGCTACGGAGCCGACTCCTCCCCTGGGAGTGTTCATTGGGGCAACCGCACTCCAGCAATCGGAATCAATGTCATATCTTTCCACATCACTGAAGCAAGTGTTGTCATCCAAACCTCCTATTGCATAAATGGGGCCACCCAAAGAGGCAAGGGCGATTCCTCTCCTAAGAAAACCACAGGATCAATACGTCAGTGCAAATCCTTAAGGAAAGGGAATGGGAAAGACATGTGAAGTGCAATGTTACCCGACTGGCACCTGCTTCAAACTATGGGGAAAAAGTCATGACAATTTAAAAAGTGCAGTTTATAATAAATAATAACCGATCACTGAGGCAGGCTTGCAGCTTTATCCTGAAAGTCTTTTCTATGTCTGCAGTCTCCCATTAGAGGGACTCTGGAGTTTTATGTTACCTTCATTTCAGCTTTCCCAGGTACCTGTACATTGTTGTGTGATCCATGACCCAGACTGTTGCAGCTAGAATATTTTTAGACTGCAAAAAGACAAAGCTCCTGTTTCAAAAATAGTAAAAACTAAAGGACGGGAGGCATGGAATGCTGTTTTGACTGCATGTCACTTAAAGCCCAAGTCCTCCACTTACATGCTTGCATATATGAGATTGTCTTAGTTACTTGGGTTTCTCTATGCCGGTACTGAATTTCACACCTCCAATGTTTTTTTGTCTTATCTGATGGAGAACAAAACCTGCTGGTTTTAACTTTGTTGGTATAGCCGCTGCTACGATTTGGGGTGATTTTTTTTTGGGG